GCACGACAGTTCCTTAGTTTAGTCTTGACATATCCCCTTTGGTTTGCACGGAAAAAGTCAACTAAATCTCTCGTTTACGATAATCTTCAACTGAAAGTGTTGCACAAAGGCCACCTGATGTTTTAGCTCGTACGATATTCGAGACATTGTCGTATACCTGCATAAAGAAAACCACTCGCCGAGTTGCTGAGTACTCTTCGACAGTCCAAGAGCGAAGATTACGCTGTCCGAACCCAAATCAGATACATTTCTACAGATACACCCAGTTGAATATCAATTTAGTTTTTAAGGAGAATCTCAACTGAATTGCTCTTTTTCAGCAACCTTGGGGGCGGCTTCCTTTAACAAAAAATGGCCACATTATTCTATGGAGAAAAAACTTATCCAGCTATGGGAGACATTTTGGAGGAAGGAAGTACATAAGTTGCTCTAATTCAATTAGGTTGTTACTGAAGGCCATCTTAAGTGCAAGTTATTTAGCTGTTACCAACAGTTGCCCAGATGATCTGGCTTGTCAATGGAAAAGGAAAGTCAAATGATATTGTAAAAATGTTATCCTTAATTGACATGCCCTAAAGACTGTGTATTCCGAATAGAGATTGACGGGGAAACGGTTCAAGTAGAATCTCTGGTTCTTCTTCAACGTTAAGAACTTACAACAGTTGGGAATCACAAGCAAACAATGACAATTGTTTTCGACACAGTGGTCATGGATGACTCGCGAATGGTAACAAGTCTAGGCGATTAAATCATTTCGGGTGAGAGACAGGCCGCAACAACAGCTTTGCTCATCGCCACCTAAGCACTGAAAACGAGCTTGCGTCAAGCTGTCGTGTTTTCTCTGCTGGTACATGGCAGCATAGTATTTACAATGTACAGAATACATGTTAGGAAACTTCACTTGCAATCGACGTACGAAATAATTCCGACCAAACGGACCAATCGATTCTGAAACGGAAAAAACAATAGCAACCATTGTAGTTGGCTGCTTAAGGAAATCTGTTGGTTTGGGAGCTTGCACCAAAAAACCAGGACCCACATCCCGCAACAAATTTTCTTCTGTCACTTGTAGAATTAACTCGCAGAAATTTACCTTTTGGCCTTTAAAATGCTTTGGAAAACCGGAATTCTCACTTATAATCATGAAAGAATCATGCGCTAGACAACCATGCCTGAAAAATAGCCAACCACCTATTCAAGAGTAGCCTTAAATTACGCCGCGTTTGAAGGCTTTCTTTTAGGGAGGGTTCACTTTCCCTAATGTGGTGGATTTTCACAGCTAGTAGACGCACGCGCCTTAGTAGGTCCAGATTTGATAATTACAAGTATAGTGACCGCAGTGAAACGTAGTAACTGCCTGTCCGATTGCAACTAGCCTGTATACAATGACAGTGTTTNTGGATGTCATCAGGTAGGCGTAGTCTTGGAGATTTCTTCAAGCTTACGCTGTCTGAACCCAAATCAGATACATTTCTACAGATACACTCAGTTGAATATCAATTTAGTTTTTAAGGAGAATCTCAACTGAATTGCTCTTTTTCAGCAACTTTGGGGGCGGCTTCCTTTAACAAAAATGACCATATTATTCTACGGAGAAAGGATTTATCCGGTTTTGAGAGACATTTAGGAGGAAGGAAGTACATAAGTTGCCCTAATTCAATTAGCTTGTTACTGAAAGCCATCTTTAAATGCAAGTTATTTAGCTGTTACCAACAGTTGCCCAGATGATCTGGCTTGTCAATGGAAAAGGAAAGTCAAATGATATTGTAAAAATGTTATCCTTAATTGACACGCCCTAAAGACTGTGTATTCCGAATAGAAATTGACGGGGAAACGGTCCAAGTGGAATCTCGGGTTCTTCTTCAACGGTAAGAACTTACAACAGTTGGGAATCACAAGCAAGCAATGACAATTGTTTTCGACACAGTGGTCATGGATGACCCGCAAATGGTAACCGGTCTAGGCGATTAAATCATTTCGGGTGAGAGACAGGCCGCAACAACAGCTTTGCTCATCGCCACCTAAGCACTGAAAACGAGCTTGCGTCAAGCTGTCGTGTTTTCTCTGCTGGTACATGGCAGCATAGTATTTACAATGTACAGAATACATGTTAGGAAACTTCACTTGCAATCGACGTACGAAATAATTCCGACCAAACGGACCAATCGATTCTGAAACGGAAAAAACAATAGCAACCATTGTAGTTGGCTGCTTAAGGAAATCTGTTGGTTTGAGAGCTTGCGACAAAAAACCAGAACCCACATCCCGCAACAAATTTTCTTTTTGTAGAATTAACTTGCAGAAATTTACCTTTTGGCCTTTAAATAGCTTTGGAAAACTGGAATTCTCACTTATAATCGTGAAAGAATCATACGCT